ATTTTTAAAACTTTTATTTAATCCCTTTGTCACCACCGGTCGCCACCATCGGTCTTCGCTAACGCTATCAGTCGACCTAACACGCAACGGCGTGTGACTAGCCAACCACCGATGACCATAAGCCCCATACTTTCGCAACCAATCGAACAAACAAAAATGGAGTAATTAAAAATTTTCATTTTAGTGTTTCGAAACCATAAAAATCCCTTAGATCGATCGTGGTAATCAACCGTTTGATTGGATGTGGTGGTCGATCATTTGTCGTTTGGTCGACATCGTGGCAGTCAGACTTTGGATGTGGCAGGGAATGAGGAAAAGGGATAAAAGAGGGGATGGAGAAGGGGGAGGGAAATGCGGGGGGTTAGGTGATGACACTGTTCATTTTAAAAAAAAATATTTTCATCTAAAATTATTTTTTAAAAATATCATAAAATGACACGTGTCACTTAACTGGGATTTTAACGGTAGTTAACGTCCGACACCCAAAATGGTAACGAAGAAAACGTTAGGCTCCTATTTTTAGCGAAAATTCTTTAAGCACTAAAACGCTTTTCGAGATAAAGTTAAAGCACTTATTTTTGTATTGAGCCTAAAATAAAGGATGAATTTAAAAACAAGAAAATTATTAAAAAATTGAGGGATTAAATTAGAAAATAAAAAAAATATTATAAAAAAGAGGAATTGAAAACATATATGTATTATACAATGAAGGAGGAATTGAAAGAATAATGAAATCAATGACTAAATTGTAAAACTGTCAAAATATTTAGTTAGATTTTTAGTTTTTCAAGTATCTCGGAATTTCAAAATATCTACTCGACTCGAACTCAAAAACTGAATTGATAATTCGAATTGACTCGAATAACTCAAATTTTTTTTAAAAATTGATTTTTCGAATTGAGTAGAGTTTTACTCTTCAATGATTTATTGCATCGATTGTAACACCCCAACCCGTATCCGACCCGGATCTGAGTCCGAGGTGTCATATCAACTTTTAAACTTTTACTGGTTCAAAATAATGAAAAAATCCCCATTAAATAAAACTTCATATTATTTTAAAATAAAATGTTTCACACTTATCAGAGCACATACAATTCAAATCATTTATATTACATGCCAACTACATCTAAAAGAATAAAATACATATCAAACATTTCTTTTTTAATCTAAACTTTGTAAGGAAGATGTTGACCTGTCTTGCTCCTCTTAACTTCTCTTCGTGCTTTCCAAAACCTACGTATGAGACACTCACACGCTAAGTCGAAGACTTAGTGAGGCATATAAAACTCATAATTGAAACTCTAATTCCTAACCATGCATGAACATATCATACAATAATATCATACAAATCAATATAACATTCCATATAATCACATGCATACAAATAGATAAATCTTATCCTAATTATCAATAGCCTCATTTCATAATCAATATTCCATCCATTTATATCTTTTAGTTATCTATTCTTATACTTAACTTCGTAACAATCATAGCATTCATTTAACAATTAATATATTCGACATTACATATAACATATATTACATTTCACATAGCAAAACATGTACATTACATATCATGTATTTGTTTGTATTTCTTTATTAGCCCATGTACATCTATGAGAACTATAGATATGTGAGTCTATAGAGATTGTGCACAAATGTTGTCACCACAGCTCGTATAAATGCACCGAAGTGCCACATAGAATTGCACCGAAGTGCCATATAAAATGTCCCTAAGGACCACGTAGAAAATTCCTTAAGAATCATAGACATATACAAATGATCAAGTATGTGTCTCAAAAGACATCACACATGTTCCAAGGAATACATATACAAAGGATCAAGTATGTGTCTCAAAAGACATCACACATGTTCCAAGGAATACATATATATCCCGAAGGACAGCGTAGACCATCGACTTGGCATGCCAACTATACCCCTAGCTCTCATGACACATAACATGGGCATTATTATTTATGTCATTTCATATTCACACATTCATAACACTTATCTCTTATCGCACGTCTGATCTCTTATAATCATGTAATCACATAGCTCATGTCATTTCTTGTGACATCATGCATATCATGTAAGACATATCAGACATGTTCACACAAATCACTTCCATATAGTTCACATGATTTATTATCTCGTAGATCATATCACATTTTCATACATTTCAACAAATCATTGTCATATATGGATATCACATTTGTACTTAATCACATAGATAATATTATATAGCACTAAAATCCCACAGTTCCTATTTCGTAGCTTATATATTGTTCTTATATCTTTTTATAGACATATAAACACCTAGATCATAATTCCCTAATTTATTGTACATAATTATATCATCATTTATATTCATAACACCTAGCTCATATTTTGTTCTCTTATGCTTACATAGATCCTATAGCATATATTGCAGCATACTAACATATATAACTTATATAAATTCATTTATATACAAATTTCTTATATTCTCTTAATTCAAGTTTACATTACTCTTATAACCTTTTCCTATGACTCCATAGATCTTTACCATGTAATTTCTATATCATAGCTCATCTAAGCACATTAATCTTTCTCATACAGCTTATCTCTCATATGATTATCATTATTTATGTACAGATCTCCTAATTGATATTCTATTTTCATATTTTCCTATAAATCAATGCTAGTTAGTTTATCTAACTTTTCATTTAATACTATAAATAAATTATAATAGTTTCCATAAACTTGACTCATATAATTTATGTTTTGCTATTATATCTTCATCTAAACATATATTTACATGTTCATGATCACTTAACTTATTTCCTTCTATGGTTATCACATACAACATTTACTATTATACATGATTCGTGACCTTATAACTTATTTCACATATTCATACAGCTCATAAGGTTCACATATAGTTACATATTTCGTTTCGAAATAACCCATATCATATAAATTCACACCTAATAACATATAATATGAACAAAAACATATACACATAATACAAACTTAATCATGCTTCCATTCATGCAAACATATAAAATATTAGAAACAAACTTATTACAAGTCTAATTTCCATATAATAATATACACAATCTAATAATATGCACTCACCTTGGCCTCACTAAGTTCCAATCCACTTTTATGATTTTCTCTCTTTCGATCGAATCTTAACTTGATACTCGTTCCGGAACTTGTTCATGTTCGATATCTACATAATCATACATTAATACATATCAGTATCCCATTGATATACTCTAATCTATCATTTCTTAGACCAAAAGAAATGTCTATTTCAATTTCCCCTTGAAGTGCATCGATGCATTATAAAGTGTATCGATGCATCCCTTAACATGTGCATCGATGCATTCCTTATGCATCGATGCATTAATTGCATTCAATGTTTCCATTTTAAGGGGTGCATCGATGCACTTTCTGTGCATCGATACACACTGAACAATTTCTGAAAATTTACCCTTGATGCATCGGTGCACAAATGTGCACCGATGCACATAGCCCATAATTCATTTTTAAGTCCGAAAATCTACTCAAATCAACTCAAATGCTTCATCTTTCATCCCCTTTCATGTTCTCAACTCATATACACATGCTTAAACCAATTTATATCCATACAAACCATCTTTAACTTCAAAATTCTACTCCTCATATGTAACTCAAGAATTAAACCAACTTTGCAATATGTTTTGATTCCAATTCTATGGCTTCTAACTTCTTAATTAGACCATTGACAAGTCAAATTTAATTTCCAACTCTAGTTATGAACTCTATTTCAAGATTTCACCCAAGAACCTTAAATCTTTAATCCCTCCTAACTCTATCATACTTTGATTTTAAGATAACTTAAGCTTTCCTTAAGCTTAGTTATCAGCTAATAATCAAAACCCAACCTTAAAATCAACAATTAATCCATAAACAAAGAAACTCACCTTTGAGCTTGGAGATACGGGAGGAGGAAGAAGAAGAAAGAAAACTCTGGATAATTCTCTCATTTCCCACGTGGTTCCTTATCTTATAAAAGGAATATAAAAATCTTACTTGTCAATTGACCATTTTACCCTTTAATTCATTCAATAATTACTAAATAACCTTCATCATATTTCCAATAAATTATTGAATTATTCAATTATCCTACTTTAATCACCAATTTTTGAAATTTTACAATTTGGTCACTAACCTGGTATTGAGGATGTTACATCGATGACATGACATAACATAACCATGAATATTAAATATGTAAAATTTTAGTGTAAATCTTTAAATATATATTATCTTGTATTTATCTCAATTTCTTAAATAATAAATAGAAATATATAGAAATAAAAATCACGTTAATCCGAGAATAATAACGATTAAAATTCCATTATAAAATCAAGTTTAGGGAAATTACCCTTTTATGATTGTTCGTTTTGACACATGAGATTCATCTCAAATTTTAACTTTGGGCGGATAATTTACTTGTCTGCAATTATGAAGAGAAACTTAGGGTACATTGAGCAATCTAGGAAAACAGTAATTAGCATAATTGAGTCCGTAAACAGTAATTATCATAATTGAGTCCGTAAACAGTAATTAGCATAATTGAGTCCGTAAACAGTAATTAGTATAATTTATAAAAAGGAATTTAATAATTCACAATATATTGATTTAATATTCCTTTTACACGTTATTATGGGAAACATACTAAAATTACTTCAGATTCTTTTTTTTTAAATTTTCATACTCGATTTTTAAGATTTGTTTTATTCGTTATCATTATAATATTAAAGAATTGTTCGTATATTAACTTGTGAATCACTTTACGATTAATACATGATCAAACTATTTTTTTGAATTAATTTAATTATATAATTATATTTTAAAACTAAGTATAATTATTTGATAAATTTAAATTTATTATTATTACTAACCATTGATATGGAGTTTTGTCTTTAAAAAAGGACCAAAGGCAAAAGTTAAAGAAAAAGTCGGTTACCGCAAATAAAATTGCAACGGAAAGGAAGCAAAAATCTTGTTATAAATAGAAAACCAATTTAATCACATTGCCACCGTCACGGACACCGTCTCCGTCTCCACCGTCTCCACCACTCTCTACCCTTCCATAAACAAAACGTGAATTACAAGAGAAAAAAAAAGAACCCTCACAAAATATAAACCTTTTTTTCTGTCGAATCGTTATCGTTGTTTTGATGTCAGCTAAAAACGATGGGAAGGGGAAGCAAGCTGAGAAAGGGAAGGCCAAACGGATCCGGAGCCTTCTCGGAGTCGGGTATTGGGTCCAAGGATTCAGGGTCTTTCCGTGGATGGTGGTTAACTTTTTTCTGAAAGATGGTGTTAAAGTAGACCCTTCAACTCTACAGATTCTTCAGAATTCGGCTAATCTCCCGATGGTTGGGAAGCCCCTCTACGGTGTCGTTTCCGATGCCGTTTATATCTCTGGCCAGCACCGTGTTCCTTATATCGCCATTGGTGGTAAAAGCTTTAATTCTTTTGCTCTGTTTTCATCGTTCTATTTTCGATTTAATCCAATATTTCGACTCTCTGTTTCATTCTGGAAATTGGGAGATGTTTTTCTATTTATCATCCTTTTCCATTTTCTATGATTTTAAGCATGTTAAACTATATATTTATAAGTATTATCATTGGAATCTGGTATTAATATTATGTGTAATTTCCTATGGTCTGACTTTAATGGTGGAGAGATTGTCTGCAGAGTAAAAAGAATTAAGGGTTAACTTATTATTGAGAACCATGTTCTCTACTCTATTTTTTAAGTACCCGCATCTGATGTAGTTCTAGACGTGGTATCATATGGAAACAAAACTTAGAAAATTGAACATACTCATATCGGACACATAGCTGAATCTGACTAAAGGTAAGTGACAAGCCTTGTTCTGGTGTGTGTTATTCTACTAGTTGCTTTTGGTGTAATTTTCAAGCATTTCTTTTTGAACAAGCATAGGTATTGTGAAGGGAAACAGTATTAGGAATGAGGGATAGAATAACTTACGCTGAAGTGTACATTTGGTCCTGATATGGAAGTTAAGATTGGATACATACATCTGTATTGTGATAGAGATCCTTAAATGTAAAAAAAAAAAAAAAACAACCAGATATCACAAGTCTCAGATGCAAATATAGATGGCCAGCCAGCAGCAATTAAGCTGTGGCTGGCATTGCAAGTGTCAATGAGGCCTTGTGCTTTTATCTGTCATATGAAAGAAGATCAGTGATTTCAAGCTTTGAGTCAATGTCGATTATAACTAGGTGTTAGCTACTATGTTTATAAGCGTTATTTACGGTGAACTGTATGAATTCTTGGATTTGATTAGCTGCTGGACACTGAAACTCAAATTAGTGTGTCAAGTTTGTTAATTTACCTGAATACCATAGTTTTCTACAAATACAATTTCATGTTCAGACAGAATATGGCTTATGGACCATTTGGTATATCTTGAAAACAAAAAACTTTAATGGAGGCAAAGATGTCCTTGAGTTCACTCTTTTTTCTATTGTCATTGTGGCTTCTGCTGTTTTGAGCCATTGTTTTCTTGTTGAAAGCAAGTTTCAATAGCAGTAGAACTGGATTATAAATTGCAAAATATTTTTGGATTGGTATTGCTGTACCCTTTTTTTCAATTGAATTCTTATTTTCATCTTGATAATAGTTTTTGCTGTTTCCTTGTTGCAGCTTCCTTACAAGCACTGTCATGGGTAACAATAGCATTACTTTCACGATCGAACATTTCAATCTTCACAATGAGCCTATTCCTTCTCCTCAGTAACTTCGGTGCTGCAATAGCCGAGGTTGCTAATGAAGCTATTGTTGCCGAGATGACGAAATCCAAAACTTCTCAATCAGCTTCCTCAGGTGAGCTTCAGTCATTTGTTTGGATGTCTTCTGCTGTAGGCGGAATCCTTGGAAACCTGTTAGTTGGCATTGCCATGGACAGATTTTCGTCCCAATCAATGTTCCTCTTTTATGGACTTCTTCTCGTTCTCCAGTTTCTAGTAACTATCACAGTTCCTGAGCGCTCTCTTAATCTTCCAAAAAGTCCATCACATGTTGGGATTAGGAAACAGCTTTCGGAGCTTTCAGCTGCATTGCGAAAACCTGAGATAGCTAACTCAATAGCATGGTTTGCTGCATCATATGCTGTAATTCCAGTACTGACCGGAACAATGTTCTTCTACCAAACACAGTATTTGAAGATTGACACCTCTGTTTTGGGAATTTCTAAGGTGTTTGGCCAGGTAGTAAATCTATTATGGGGTGTCATCTACGATCGTTGCTTAAAGTCAGTCCGACCAAGGACACTGCTTCAAGCTATTCAGGCAACAATGGTAGCACTCATGATTTCAGATGTGTTGTTTGTGAGAGGGACTTATCGACTGTTGGGGGTGCCAGACTCCGTCTATGTTGTGGTTTTCTCTGGTGTCCTAGAGATTCTATTCATCTTCAAGATGCTGCCGTTCAATGTTCTGATAGCTCAACTTTGCCCTCCAGGATGTGAAGGGTCTCTTATGGCATTCGTTATGTCAGCTTTAGCCCTTGCAACAATTGTGAGTGGATACCTCGGCGTTGCATTGGCATCATGCATGGGGATCACAGAAAATGATTTTTCTGGATTTCCTCTTGGCCTTCAAATTCAGGCAGTTTGTACCCTCTTGCCGATATTTTTTTCATCGTGGATACCTGATATTTGGGAACATAAAACCAAGACAGAATAAATGTTGATGCTTTCAGGAACGGTACGAAATGCATAACTCTGAAGTGCAGTTTCAGCCTCCTTTCATTTTGAAAATGATTACTTTATACTAACATTTCTTTTATTTATTTTCACAGCAATGTTTATTATCAACATGTGAACAATAAGAACAATTACAGGTAGTTTCAGGAAGCTCGCTATAGGTGCCTCAAAGAGATGATATCTTTGGACTTGTTATGGCGAGTGAACTGCATATTTTAACACTTACACAGTTGAAAAACTTGCTATACGTAGTGGCATGTAGTGTAATGTAAAGTGTGAATGAGATGATAGCTTCTTTTTACCTAATTTAGCTGCAATGCATGCGTTTGTACTGCAAATTAAATGCAGCCGAAACAAACATAGACAATTTCAATTCCTATTTAGTCTTTTGTTGAATGCTATCATAACTTGTTTGATGTCTCTTTATGAAGTGTTTTGTTACTAATTTACCTTTGCCTAAGTGTTGTTATTTCAGATTAGGATCTAGTTCAAGCAAGATTGACATTAAAATGTCGAGATCAAGGTGTTAGTTGAGGTTGTGAACCCTATTGATAGTAATGGACAAAACATTAGGGTTGAACTTATAAATTTATAGAAGATGAACTTCTAAATTTTAGGGGCTAAGATAAATTATATACATAAAATATAAAAAAAATCTATATTACATGAGAATTTGAAATTTTTAAGAAACGACGCCTGTTAGTACCCTTGATCCATCTTTGAATATTGACGTGATGAGTGAATAATAGTTCTTTGTTTAAGGTCAGTGTATTTAGGTCCAGTTTGATATTGTTTTTTAAGAGTGACTTTTACAAGTGGCGCAAAAAATAACTTTTAAAAGTGTAATTTAGAATTTTGAAATTATTGTAACAATGTGATTTTAAAAAGGAAAAATGTTCATTTTAGGCATTATGTTATAAATTATAAATATAAGATTTAAATTATATTTACATTTATTAATATTATGATATATAAAACATATTAACTTAAACTATAATAAAAATATATAAAAATTTTAAGATGATAAAATTTGTCTTAACAAACAAATTTTTAAGTAATTACGATTAACTACTCTGTTTTTTTTTTTAAATTCTCGCATATTAGATTCCAAATCACCAATCTTAAAAGTTTTGAACCTAATCACGAATATTAGATTCCAAATCATTATATATTACTTGCCATTAAAATTAATATGTGCTGTTGACATTGATTAGAAATTTCAAAATTTAGTTTTTGTTTTAAAAAAATATTTTCTCTGAAACAAACTTTTGAGATAAACAAGAAATGCTCCACTAATCCGGAGAACAGGCAGTTATTGAGGCACAATTTTCGGATATAGAACATGTGATCATGGCGGATGCATTGAGCTATTATTTTTAAAAGATGATTAAATTTAATTTAATGTGTTGAAGAAAAAAATAAAATTTCATATATCTATTACTTTTAAGAAAAGAAAATTAAAATTTTGAAGCTCATTCTTAAATTTCTGAATTTGTCATTGTGTGTGATTATCAAACAGTTAATTGATTTTATATTAGTTGTAAATATTCAAGGTGAATCCTCATTTTTTTATATGAATATGAAAGTTGATGGTTATTTTAATTATAAACGAATTATGAATTCATTGAGTAGCGTAAAAAAAGTGTTGTTATCTGAATTTTCAGATTCAAACAATTATGTTTACAAGTGTGTATATTGTCAATGATTAAAAAATTCATGAAATAATCTGATAAAAATTGAATTAAATATTAAAATTAGTCAAATTAAATTTTATTTCCTAATTTCTGGGATTTAAACATATTTAGTGAAATAATAAAATAATGTCTCCCTGTCATTTTATATAATAGTTTGGTAAGGAAGAGAATAAAAGGTCTAAAGTTTAAGGAGGTATATTCATTTTTTGATCGAAGAGATAGTATTATAAATAAAGAAACACAATTGAGTAACATAATTAAAAAATGAATATACCTAATATTATACTCATTTTTTTAATTAAATATTATACTCATTTTTTTATTAAATATTATACTCATTCTTCCATTCCAAATAGGTCTTCCTTCAAAGCCATAATGTGGAGTCTAATATTGAATAATCTACCATTTTTAAAAAACAAAATTGTTATTTTCAAGGTTATCTAGTCGTGTAGGAAGAACCTATGCACACCCACAAAATAATTGCCTTTTCTATCATAAACTGAAATGCATGCATTCTATGCATCATTCGTCCACGTTTTATATTTAAATATTATAATTATTGTTTTTGGATTGGAATAATAATATTACTACTTTAGATGAAGTAAGCTTTTCAATAGTTAACAAGTCTCTCCCTCTTATCACACACGACTGTCACCTCCAAGGGCCAAACCAAACATGGAGATGGAAACTTGCTTCTTCTTCTTCTTCATCATCACCGCCGTCACCATTTCTCTACTTCTTCGAGCTCTTTTTAACATTCAGTATTCCACCTCCAAAACACAATCCCACACAACTCTCCCTCCAGGCCCTCCCAACATTCCCATTATCTCCACCATCCTATGGTTAAGGCGAAACCTTTTCGAGCTTGAGCCGATCCTCCGTAACCTCCACACAAAGTTCGGTCCGATGGTCACTCTCAATATTCTTTCTCGCCCCGCCATTTACGTCTCCGACCGTTCCCTCGCCCACCAGGCCTTAGTCCAAAGCGGTGCTTTATTCGCCGACCGCCCCAATGCTCAGACCGTAATCGGCAAGATTATAAGCCGCAATCGACATAGCATAAGCTCAGCTTCCTATGGTCCGACTTGGAGGCTTTTGAGGCGTAGCCTCACATGCGAAATCCTCCACCCTTCGCGTGTCAAATCGTATTCTCATGCTCGAAAATGGGTTCTTCAAATACTGTTGGATTCTTTCACGTCGAGCTCGAAAACTGGAGGACCGGTTCGTGTGGTTGATGATTTTCAACACGCTATGTTCTGCTTGTTAGTGCTGATGTGTTTCGGTGACAAGCTTAATCGAGATCAGATCATAGAGATCGAAACTGTGCAGCGGCGTTTGCTGATAGACTCGGGCGGAAGATTCAATCTACTCAATTTTTGGCCCAAGGTGACTTGGTTTTTGCTTCGTAAACGTTGGAATGAGTTCTTCAAGGCCGTAGAAGACCAGGAGAAAGTGTTGGTTCGTCTGATAAGAGCCAGAAAGAAATCGAAGGACAACGGGACATTGTCGAATCGAACAGACAACGCCTTGGCATACGTCGATACGTTGCTCGATCTTCGACTCCCGGAGGAAAAGAGGAAACTAACGGAAAAGGAAATCATCAGCTTGTGTTCCGAGTTTCTGAACGCCGGAACAGACACTACTTCCACTGCTTTGCAGTGGATCATGGAAAACATGGTGAAATATCCTCATGTTCAAGAGAAACTATTCATGGAAATCAAAGGGGTAGCGGGAAACCGACAGGGAGAGGTGAAGGAAGATGATCTGCAGAAGATTCCATATCTGAAAGCAGTTATCCTGGAAGGACTAAGAAGGCATCCGCCGGGTCATTTTCTTTTGCCTCACACAGTGAGAGAAGACACAGTATTAGGAGGTTTCTTGGTGCCCAAGAATGGCACCATTAATTTCATGGTAGCAGAAATGGGGTGGGATCCAAAAGTATGGGAAGATCCAATGGCATTCAAACCAGAGAGATTTCTAAGCAATGGAGAAGCAGTGCTTGATATAACAGGAAGCAGGGAAATCAAGATGATGCCATTTGGGGCGGGAAGGAGGATTTGCCCAGGACTGGCCTTGGCGATGCTTCATCTCGAGTACTTTGTGGCCAACTTGGTGTGGAATTTCGAATGGAAAATCTTGGATGGAGATGATGTGAGCTTGGAGGAGAAGCAGGACTTCACTGTGGTCATGAAAACTCCATTGCAGGTCCACATTTGTCCTAGGAAAAGTTGAAACAAACTGCTGCTATTTTACTGGGATATATATATATATATATATATATATAACAAGTATAATAATTAATCCTTCAAATGTAGGGATTGTAAAGCTTAGACCATAAGCTTCTACTTATACCTGAATCATATAGTAACTTTCTTCTATAATTGTGGCAATAACTTTTATTAATCACAATTATCTCATTTAACCCTGAAATCCTTGTGGCTATCTATATTCATGGATACAAGAATGGTAATTAAGCAGATATTTATCTCATAGTTTAATAACTAAAGTTAGTTTTCCCAAAGCATTTTAATTAGAAAGTCATACGGCAAATTTGCTCTAATAATATGTTGTAAAAATGTCATGTAAAATGTAAAAAAAACTATTTTTTCGGGTAGGATCTTTGATACAGTACTTATTAGAAGTCGGAAAAAAGTTTATACACTATTTTTTTTAAAGTAATCTATAGTAATTATAGGTAATATATATTTAAAATTTTTTTAATCAATTAATAATATATAAATATCATAGAGACGGAACTATTAAAACCTAAAATTTTTGAAGATAATATTTAAATCACTTAATAAATTTATAGTTTTTTTAACACATTATTAAAAAAAATTGCCTCGGTCAAAGAGTACGTTCTAATTTTAAAAAAATCGAGTTGGATTAAATATCAGTTAAACAAGATTATAGGAATTTGATAGTAAGTATGAGAGTATGCCGCCCCGCCATGGTTCCCAAAATGATAAACAAAGAATTTGAGGTTCGAAATCAGCGGAAAAGCAGGGTTGAAGTTTCCTACGTAATGTAATACCCGCGCTTTCAAATTGGAGAAGTGAAGATCTTCGCTCTTGGCAGGATCTCTCTCTCTCTCTCTCTCTCTCTCTCTCTCTCTCTCTCTCTCTCTCTCTCTCTCTCTCTCTTTCATGCCTCGTTGATTCCTTGGGATTCCAGTCCCTTTCTATCAGATCTTGATTCAGATCCCTCTGTTCTGCCTCCCGTTTTAGACTCCCCAACCCTCAAATTTCTCTCCTCAGCTTCCCGTAATGGATTCCACTTCCACTCGCTTTCTCTTCGTTGCTTTCTTCGTCTTCTTTGCTCTCTCAGCCACTTCTTTTGCTGATCAGGTAGTTTCAATTTTTTTTAAGATAAGAAAGCTTATTCTTTCAAATTTATGTAAATACTGAATTGGGGTTTATGTATTTTAAAAACATTTTTATGATTTCTTAGGTGTCTGGACTTGAAGTTGAGGAGGAATCGGGTTGGTCAGTCAACGATCTCGGTCGCCGTGGCATGGTCTGTCATTTTATTTTATTTTATTTTTCTTTCTGTTTTGTTTTTGAGAGAGACTTAATAATTTGTAGACTTCGAACTTACTGAATGATTTCTATGGTAAAATGAAATGTTATTCTCTTTAGAGGATTTGGGTTCAATCACACTTGTGAGAACATAATTTGTAGACTTCACATTTTTTAAACGGTTAGTTTAGTTATATTGTCCTTTGGGCTTTGGTCGTTAATTTTGCTTCTTTATTCCATTTTCTTTTGCTTTAGAGTTTAGAGCAACTCTGTATGAATATACTGCTAAGAGCTAAAACTGGGCGTTAGTTAAACCACATGCATATCTAAATATTAGCTTCGTTTTGAGATTTAATCTGGAACTTATACAACTTACCACGTTATCATTATGTAACTTGTTCGTTTATGGAATTTTGCATTTGATATGTATTTTGTGTTGGCTTTTCGATTATGTTGATGAAGTTTTTTTTTGACAGATTGTTTCAAGAATGTTGAATTAGAGGAGAAGTCTGATAATAATTCAATTGGTATCGATGTCGGTTTCGATTCGGCTGGTCTTGGAGTCTTCGATGCTTTCTTTACAAGTTTGTCCATGATAGTTATCAGTGAGGCTTGTACATTCAATTCTATTTTACAAATTTATGTTTGACTTTACAAAATTAGGGGTGAATGTTCGATCGAGTCGAGCCAAGCCCAAAAAGTTCGAGTTACTCGAGTTGACGAGTCATATTTTATAATTCAAACTTGATTTGAAATTTTTTCGAGTCAAATTTTCAAGTTTCTGTTTAAATTTAATTATAAATGTTTATAATATTATGATACTATTTAATTCCTATTTAAATGGTTTTTTTATAACCATATATAATATATATATTTTTCATATGTGATGTACATATATTATACAGACTCGAGGGGCTTGACTTAAACTTAAATCCAATCCACTAACTACTAAAATTTCAAGGTATTCTAGTTGTATTTTTATAACTCGACTTGAACTTGAAATTTTTTCAAGTTGAGTCGAGTTTATGAAATTATAACTCGAAATCAATTCGAGTCGAGTTTTTTCTAGTCAAATCGAATCGAAAAATCAGTTTTTTAAGTTGAGCCAAACTTTGCTCACCCCTATGCAAAATAGTGATGGTTTTCCACATCTCTTAGTATAATGTGCTTTAGAAGGAAGTTTATTTCTATGATACATGTTAACTATTTTGCTTCTGAATTGGTCACATAAATTATTAGAGACGGAATCCAAAGTAAATGCCGAATTGATGTGTTCTAAATGCAATAATAGATTGGAGATGAGACTGAAGACACTTAATTTCGTCCAAATTATAATATATTATTATGTAATAGTATAAATTATAATTTTATTTATTTATTTATTTATTTTTACAGATCCAACATATGTGGCCCAACAGAGTATTCTGGAAACCCAGACCCAAAACGCGTAATAGTGACCTAAAGTATAGGAGATTAGGGTTTCTAGAACCCTCGTTCGTTCGTGTCATCCAGCGCCGCAAACGCATCCAGCCGAGGACTCCTCGCCACGCACGCCTCTCCAACGATCCGAGTTCTCCGGCGCAAGGAAAGCACACGAGGCCAACACTCACAACAAACCAACAACTCAATTAGAGTTTCATTCGGAGTAAAACTCCCAAAAATAGGGTGACTTGAATATTATAAATAGCATGTAATCCCTAATGTAGTTTTTACACAGTTGATATGCAATAAATAGCATAAATTACAAGCAAATCATAGCCATTTCGAAGCACTTATATTTCGAAAAAAGAAAGGTAAAAATCGTACCTTTGCATGTTATTTTTGTGCATTTCCTGTGTTTTGATTCAAGAGTAACTCCAAAAAACCGTTTTTGAGCCAATGACCAAGAGGGAGATTTCGAAGCTTTGACTTCAGATTTACGCTCCCCAGAGGCTTTTTTGCAAAAACAAAACACGTTTTTAAACTGAGGGTACGAAGAGCTTTTTAAAAATCAATTTTTTTCGAGTATTGCCGCCGATGAACAGCAGTCGCCGAGGCAGCGTTGGCCGTGTTCTGGGTTTCCATGAACCCAGGCGATGGCCGGTTCTTCATAATGAAGAACATAAGAGAGCATTTGCTTTGAGGAGAAGAGATGATTTGGTTTTGAGATGGAAAATGAGAGAAATAGAAAAAATTTGGCTTATATATTAAGCCCATTCGACCCGCTTGGACCGTGACCCGACCAGCGTGTTCCCTCAGACCCGCGTGTTTTTAAAACGCAAATGGAGCAATCCCATTTTTAGTCCCTCGTAGATTTAATCCATTTATTTTGACCCTAAATCCTAATTTAAGCCCTGGTTCTCTCTTAATTTGGTCATTTAATTCATTTTTCCTTTCAATTCCATCCCCCCATATTTGACTGTAAATTCCGAACTCTCTTTAAATTGGCCCACAACTTTCTTTCTTTTTGCATTTTAGTCATTGTTATATGTATTTAAATATACCGCTTATTATTTATTATTATTTTTCTTTTTATCCTTTCCGTTTTTTGTATTTATTATACTTTTTAGTATCTTATTATACTTTTTTATATAAATATACTGTTTATTATTATTATTATTATTATTTATTATCATTAACGTGTATATATATATTTTATTTAGTTTCCTCTTTATTATTATTGTCTATGTACATATTTAGTTATCTTTTTCTATTATATATATATATATATATTTTTAGTTTTGCAATTTATTACTATTATATCACATACTTATTTCTTTTTTCCTTTTGCTGTATTGTTACTCATTTTTTGTTTATTGTTTATCTATGTTTTATTTTTATTATTATTAGCATATATTTTATATATTTTATTTCATTTTATTTTGTGAACTTTTTATTGTATTGATTTATTTATTTGTTCGTTTTTATCCTTCTTTATCTCATTTTCTTTATTTTCACTTTTTCATCTCTAACACTTTTCTTGATGCTTTGAGGGTACGTTTTCAAAAACGGTTAAAGGTAAATAATTCGGGTCCTCATTTTACCTTTTAATTAAAAATTACAATTTTCTTAACTAAAGACAACTGGAAATTATATAGTACCGAAAGGGCAATTCAAGGGTGCTAACCCTTCCTTGACTGTAACCGACTCCCGAATCCGACACATCTTTGGTAAGACACAGATTAGGTAAGAAATAAGGTATCCGATCAACCCATTTTGTTTCAAATAAATGATCGGTGGCGACTCCAATCTATATTATTTATGTCGAAGCCCAATTCCGGGCCCAACCGAAAGACGGTTCCACCAGCTTGGCGACTCCGCTGGGGACAATGGTAAGTGAGTCAGGCTAAGGTAATTTCCAGTTATCTTTTTAACGAAAAGGGTAAGTTTAAATCTCAAGGTAACATTTCGATCCTTATTGCTTACTTTTGATTATATTTTTCGAGTAAATAGTTGTTCTAATCGTTTTCTAATGATTTCAGCCCTTAAAGATTTTTCATCTAAGGCTCTAAACCCGAGCTCCAAACCTGTTTTAAGTGGGGTGAAAGCGACGCATTCGTGTGAATTTATTCACCGCATATGCCTAGCAAGTAGCCTTCGGGATGCATATACCTTATGTCTTCGTGTGAATTTATTCTCCGCATAGACATAAAGGAATGTGTCCTCTCGAGTTTAACTTAGTCCACACAAGCTTGTAATGAGCTTAGGACTAAGGGTCTGGCAAGCCCAAGGGGGCGCCGGCAAGGAGAACTCGGGTACATTTTTTCATCTAGGATATTTTTACCCTAACCATGTTTTTTTTTGTTTTTTGTCTTCTCCCTTTCGTCATTTTATGTTTATTTATTTATTTATTTATGTTTGTATTAACTTTTTGCATGTGTTTGTTTTTTAGTATTTGCATCATAACAAGAGATCATTGATCCCTAAAAAGCATTTATTACACACAAAATAATCTGAACAAATGGACAAATGTGTTGTAATACAAGAGAGTAAAAACTCTGAGGTACGACTATGGTCCGAGAAGACTCAGAAGGAAAAGGGAGACAGTCTTCATGGAAACTATGTGTCAGAGCTGGTCAACTATGCCTCTATCAGCCTAAAGCAAAATGACGTGCAAGAGCTTCGAGACATCTGGGACAGTTGGAAGAATGATCAGAAATAGAAGTTTAGCCAACGGTACGGTGACATTACACTTTTACTTCATATCAAGACCGATGAGCCCTTAATCAGAGCCTTGGTTCAATTCTGGAACCCGAGATACAGTTGCTTTAGTTTTAATCAGGAGGACATGGTGCCCACCATTGAAGAATACACTACACTGTTACAATGTGAAAGTATCAGACTGGAGAGGGCCTACCTTAAACACATTAAAAGTCATCCTTTCAAGAATGCACTAGCCAAAGTTACCGGGGTTGACGAAAAATGGGTAACTGACCGGGCTCGATGTAAAGGCAATGGGGAAGGAATTGCTTAGCTTCATATCAAGCAACTGATGAAGAACCATCCCAATGAGTGAAAGGCAATAGACATGTTTTCATTGGGTCTGTATGGTCTGATTATATTCCCGAAGACTTTGGGTTACATTGATGCTGCTGTGGTAGAGCTGTTTGAACAACTCCCGAAGCGAGTCAACCCATCACCAGTCATCTTAGCCGAAACATTTCGATCTCTCAACCATTACAGAAGAGCTGGCGGAGGAAGGTTTGTTGGGTGTACTCAGCTCCTTCAAGTCTGGATCCACAACCACTTTTGGAAGACTAATGGGGTGGCCTATCGCCGGTTCAGCACTACCTATTCACCTTTGGAAGAATTCATCACTAGGAAATGTCATGAAGGTGCTTCAAAAGAAAAGTGGATGAAAGTCTTTACACATCTTCAGGATCGGGATATTACCTGGAGAGCCCCTTGGTTGTTCCTCGGTGACGTTCTTTTCCGGTGTGGGGATTCTGATACTATGATCTTACTCGGACTTTGGGGTGCAGTTGGGTATGCTCCGTTGTTAGCACTTAGACAGTATGGGGCACGTCAGTTTGTCCCCACAATATACAGACTAATTAAATCAGAGTTTGTGTATAGCGGTGACAGTTATAAGAATATGATCAAGGAAGCATCTGAGTCATGGAAAAAAGTATCTCGAATGGATGTTGTTGTTGCCAGAGACATGCTTACTCCGGATTATGTGGAGTGGCGAAGATTGAGAAAGAATGATAACGTCCCTGTGCCAGGCTGTGAAGACACTCGGACTATGGAAGAACATCTCAGACCTGTCCCTTCCGGACTTGAGATAGCCAAGGCAGAGGTTGAAGCTGTGAATAACGAACTGAAGCAGAGGATTAAGGAACTTGAAGCTGAACGTTATCAATGGAAGCTCGATGCCGACTCACAGAAAGATAAAGCAGGTAAACTAGAAAGGGAACAGAAAAGAGTCTGTTTTGAGCTCGGAGACTTAAGAAAAGGCTATCAAGATAAAGTCAAGGATTACTCCAAGTTAAAAGTAACCTCTGAATACTGGAAAAACGAAGCTCACAGTCTAAAAAGTAAATTCGAGGGGCCTGATGAAAGATCTTGGAAGGAACAACTGAAGACTGCTCAAAGGCGCTTGGCAGACAGTCAACATCAGAACTAACGCTTGAGAATCTGGGTGGCGGAC